ACAAAAACTAAAAACGTCCTGCCTACAAATCTCTCGCATGATTGGTCAGGTGGCTAACCGATGACGAGGGATGAAAGAAGACGGCATAATGCGACTCATTCAGACATCTGTTATCAGCTGCATATCTTATAGCTTTCCTTACCTGAGGGTCTTGAAAGCAGACGAGCACAAAATAGACAGAGTCATACGTGTGGCTCTCAAGTAGGCTCCGAACCTTCGCCCGTGGATCCTCACGGAACGTCTGCTTCAAATGGGCCTCCACAATACCCTATCAGAACTATTCCATGCACACCACCCGAATCAAGTCATGCGCCTCGCCATCACTAAATCGGGACGGGAAACACTATCAGAACTTGGTATCGAAGCCCCCATTGAGAGAAGGAGAAAATAACGCATCCCACATGAATGGAGGCCGGACTTCATCATCAAACCACTTCCACGCAGCATGCATCCTCAGTTCCACGAACATGGACGTCGGGCACCAGCAAAAGTTCACGGACAACTACTCAGATACTGAGGGCGCCTTCTTTGTCGGTGCAGCTGGACAAATGAACGGCAAATATACAGCAAGCGTCATTCATTGTGGAAAACAGGTTGATTGTATATCAGCCCAGGACACAGACGCAGCTAGTATGAAAGAATCAGGAATCGCCCTCGCCCTGCGAAACCCAAGGTCAACTTTCTTTCTAACAGATTAAAAATGAAAGTTTTGTAAAGGCTACATTGGCTCTATTGCGCATCGACTTCTTACATAACTCTCGTCCTCACGCTCAGAGGGCGAATGGAAACAGCTGATATGGATGCCCAGCCACTGCGGAGTTAGAAGCAATGAGCTCGCCCATGCCTCGGCCCGAGAATCACTATTCCGGACATCCGACCCCGGCATATCACACCCACCCTCGGCTATGCGTGGGAACCCGTTCCTAACATACACCCATATTCTAGAACATCAAAGACTCGAAAGACGGAAACGTCCGCCCCCGGGGCCAAAGCTCAGTAAAGAATCTCAAGTAGCGTGGCGTCGCCTGCAGACCTTGTCTTACCCATATCAATACATACTGTCCAAGATAGATCCCGACACATACGCACCACAGTGCAGGTTCTGCGTCACTAAAACAGCCACCCTGTACCGCATGGTATGGGAATGCCCACACAATCCACCTCTAGATCCCAGAGCATAGCACAACACTGTAGGGTGGGAGGCAGCTCTGTCCAGCTTGGATCCGAAGACCCAAGAGGCCCTCGTGAGACGAGCCAGGACAGCGTCCCGTGCCAATGGGATCCCGAACCAAGGAGCCCACTCACCGACACTCCTTCCTCGGTCGCAAATAAGTGTTTTATTATCTCTCTTCAGGCAGAAGACTATCGTCTCTCGACGACGTTTGCAGCGATCTAAGCACGGAGATACTCGATCAGTTTTTATGCTTGTATCAGTCCTTTCTTTTGCGCTGCTTCCCCCCCCCCGATATCTTTTTGTTTGTGTGACCGTTGTCTCGCCCATCACAGTTACGCTCCATTGCAGAAATCTGTGCTCGTGTCCCAGAAGCAGAGCAGCAAATGAAAAAAAAAAGAACTAAGAGACAGTTCACGATTATCATAGTTGTCAAATTCACTAGGAAGAATAAGTATCAAGCATTTACGTACCAACCGTTCGGTATGGGTACCAGGTAACCACGGTTTAAACCTGAATGAATATGCAGATGCACATGCAGTGGCATTGCATATACGTTCCATAATTTCTGTCTTCCCGGCGTTTATCTCCGCGGCCTAATTAAATAAACTTCCCACGTCGGATGACTTTGATAAGTCTCGTTTAGCAGCATGTGCGTTTTCTCATCTTAAGTATCTTTGGAAAAATTGATGGTGTTCCTCTAGAAGGGCAGAAATATCAATCACTAGACTACGATGCCGAGTTCCCACTATGAACTTTTACTTACACAGGTCTGGTCTGGTAAAGTCACCCTCGTGGCTTCGCTGCGAAGTGAGGGAATAACTGCATATTTTCATATTAACGTGCAGATTTTTTTACAAATTAAAGAAAGATATTGCTAGAAGAAACTCTGCGCATTGTTACTCGACACTTGTCTCTCTACTTTGGAGCTTCTTTGCTTTGTAGCAACAAAAATAGGCCGTTACCACAGAAACGTTTGCGATGTCTTATGCGATTTCCTAAGGGAACGAATTGAAAAAAATGTTAAGCTTACGCACAAATTTATTTTATTGTCAATCCGTTGAGGCTGGTGGATTTTTCTTTTTTTTTATTTAACAAATATTTCATTCGTATTTTAGCAATGTGTTCATCTTTACACCGTTCATTTCCAAATGTATACGGCTCGTAAAAAACACTTTATTTTTTTTAAATAACGTACAATCCGTATCATGGCCGATCCCCCGTGGTGGGTTCCGTCAGAACATTAAAGAACAACCGACGAACGAACATTACTAACGGCTCAAGCAGCTCCACTTATTAAAGTTGAAGACATGGCGGCATGCGATGGAGCGAAAAATGGTGCGAGTAGTACTCCGAACTTGCGAGAAAGAATAATTCGCGAGGCGGCAATATAATCTGGCACATATAACAGTGGACATGAAGCAATAGCAATGAAGCTGGTCTGACCAGGTAATGTGTAAGAAAGACAACCGGCGCACAGTCAGAGCAACAGATTGGACACGAAAGGATGGGGGGGATACACAGTCCAGGAATAAAACAGAACGATATCAGCTCGCACAAACGAGGATCCACTGTAGATGACTCGCAGAGGCGTTCGTTGTGCGAATGCGGAAAACAGCTTGAACTATAGCACCTTTTATTTTATTTTTGTAGCATGTACATACCAAGCCTGACCTAGTAGTATTAACAATGCCCACAGCCTGTCGCGCCACTACACGTTCTGTCGAGCGTGGTCAGTAGAATGGTCAGTAGGCAGACGCTGTATTGTTCGGCTCGTTTTAATGCGTTAGCAAGAAACGAACACTAACCACTTTGCATGTTTCGTGCATGAGTGAATAAACCGGACGTTCTGTGACAAGATAAATCAGATTTGTACTGTCAAGACACATAGTTTTTATGAAAATACGTGGCAGCTTGCGATTTAGATTATAGCCCACAGAGTACCCAAATCAACTACGCAAGACTTTCTGTAGCCACCTAGTTAGATAAATGTTTTGTCTGACCTTTGCAGGGGAAACTCAGCTTGTATTAAGATGGTATAGAATTCGCGATTGTTCTTGTAGTACATAAATCCCATGACATTGAGTGTAAGCTAAAAGTCACGTGGGCTCGCGATTTGGTCTTGAAACTATGTTCAACACCCCAACACGGTGGTCTAGTGACTAAGGTACTCGGCTGCTTACCCGCACTTCGCGGGTTCGTATCCCGGCTGTGGCGGCTGCATTTCCGATGGAGGCGGAAATGTTGTAGGCCCGTGTGCTCCAATTTGGTTGCACATTAAAGAACCCCAAATGGTCGAAGTTTCCGGAGCCCTCCACTACGGCGTCTCTCATAATCATATGGTGGTTTTGGGACGTTAATCCCCACATATCGATCAAACTATAGTCAACACTGCACCGCTTGCTTTTGTGCATTTGTGGATAGATTGAAGCACACTGCAAGCAATTCGGCTGTGAACAGGTTTCAGAGCGAAATGTTTTCGGGCCCAGATAAGTGTGCTGACGTGGTGTTGGTGTTGTGCTGTAGAAGTTGCTAGGCGGATCAGAATAACTCAGATTGCTTTCAGCAAGGATGTCGAAAGAAACCGCCATGACGGCAAGGTTTTCTTTACTGGGCGTAGAAGGTTCTCAACGAACCGATAGTGACAGCAGCGATGAAAGATCAGCTGCTTTATTGATTGATATGTTGCGTTTAACGTCCCAAACACACTATATGATTATGAGAGACGCCGTAGTGGAGGACTCTTGGAGTTTCGACCACCTGGATTTTTTTTAACGTGCACCCAAATCTGAGCACATGGGCCTACACCACTTTTGCCTCCATCAAAAATGGAGCTGCCGCAGCCGGGATTCGATCCCGCGAGTTGCGGGTCAACAGCCAGGTCAGAGTACCTTAGCCGCTTGACCAACGCGGTGGGGCAACGATCAGCTACTACTCTCGAGGAGCGAGTTGTACATCACGCCGCCTCGTGTGTTAATGCTTTTCATGCTTATAAGTCACTACCAATTGTATTGAATGTATGTATTATAATTCAGCTATGTCGAAATAAATTCATAATTTTTCTTGGGCATTGCATGTAGCTTAATGACAATTGATATTATAGAGCGCCACATGCCGCCAAGATGCTCGAGCTCGACCAGCGAAGCGAAATGGTTAGAGCTATGAAATGTGCAGTTACGAGTACAACCCACGCCTCTCTGCTAACTGCTCTTGCACTTCACCGGTACGTTCCGAGTGACGTTGTTCGAAAAATTTTCGCAATTTCGACGTTGCGAAAAAGATACGTGTGTATCATTTTCGATATTCTTGTTCCGATTGCGCTGATCCATCAGATTCCAATCTACAGTATCCGAGGGCAATGAAGCGCGCAAGACTAAAGTATGAGCATGGCTGTGACACAAGCGTTACTTAAAGAGAAGCATAATTCTTGTGTTTCATTAAAGAAGCAACACCATGTTGCTTCTTCAATGAAAACAGCAGATGGATCTGTTTCGGCTCTTCAAGTTCTTCGCCCGCGTATACTTCCCGCTGCGATCCCCCGTTCCGACAAACAAGGGTGTTGCTGTAGAAACAGACAAATAAAGATGTTATTTGTTAACCCGTACTTTTCGGGGCCAATTTGTTCATACTTGCAGTAAAACAGCGCTAGCGAGAAGAAATAGCCAGATGAGCTTGCGTTGACATATTACAGCAGTGCCTGTCTTGTCTCGCACTATTCTAGTGTAGATGAGCCCGGTCACAGGCCATTCTGATCGTCTGGCCCTTTCTTTTTACTGCCTTGCTGCATGTAAGAAATTGAGCTATCTCTCTGGGTGAATGGTTAACGTACCTCGTAGTTTGAAGTTCTCCACTGTGTTCACGATGATGTGACCCGAGAGAATCTCACCGGCGTAGTACATTTCTTTCTCGAGACGGATGTCAAACTCCCTGATGTAGTCCATGGTTCACAGCCTGGAATCAGCAGAAACAGCAACTGTTCAGGCCTTTGATTTCTACTTTATACAAGTCAACTGAAGGCTGGCTCACGCATGCATGCACTACCAGACCTCAACATCCAGATGTGTCGATTCATTCATGTTCCCATAATAACCTACGCATTCACCAAATATCTGCGTGAATATCTATATTTGCAAGATAGCTCTGATGGTGGGCATCCGGTTAGCAATCTTTTACGTCAAATTGATCTCTGGTTGACCCAGCGACCCGTTTGCTTTACACATAGAAGTGGCCGGAGCTCAACGAAACCGTATATCTGCGACGTTTAACGAAACAAACGTCGGTCCACTTCTTGACTATCTACCTCGGAATTTCACGAGGTTTTTGTCAAGCACGCAAAGAATGTAAGAGCGCGTATCTAACATCACGTGTACACCTACTATAAGAAAAAAATTAGGCAGATCCCACGTACCTGGGAATCGACGGTATGCGAAGCATGCGGATGGAAGGTGAGCGTGTTGCATTTTTTTATTCAGCGATACGCGAAGAAATGACGCTAAGTATATGTACAAATTTTGGACGCACAGACTTATGTTGAAGAGTTGCAGATGTGCATATAACCAGCTGTTCGCACTTGCCGTATTAACAACACCAGAAGCTGATATACAGCACCGATGCTCGCGAAGATGCTGGTCCTGGACATTACTACATAAATCAACTTCAGCGCATGGTAACTAATCACAAGTGCTGTTAACCCGACGTGACGACTGTATCGAAGGAGTACATATGTAATGTCTATAAAATTAGGTGGACAGCAGGGCAACCACTATTGACGTTTCACGAACATTAGCGTCTATTTGAGAAGTAGTTCGAGACCTCACGTAGCTCTATGGTAGAATGCGTTCATTGCCACGCAGAATTCTTTGGTTTGATTCCACTGGGACCCTTAAGTTTATTATACGCCTTTTTTTGGGTCGACGCTACCGATGCCGGGTATTTCTTAACGCTCACACGCTGACATTGCTCATGTGTGTTTTCGTCTTTCCTGTGTCTGTCAATCAATTGTGGCTCATACCCGCATACCATCGGCACGTGTCAGCCCGTGGGTATGTGCCACTGGCTGTCGGGAAGTGTTTGATGACGTACGGGACGAGATGGTGACATTATTCATGTCTTCAGCAGCGCATCGTATTCGTCAAAACATTTTGCCCTCCCATGCTAGTTTTGGTTCACGCCAAGTTAAGGGGGTGACCACGAGAGCCCCCAAACGTAAGCGGATAGATAGATAGATAGATAGATAGATAGATAGATAGATAGATAGATAGATAGATAGATAGATAGATAGATAGATAGATAGATAGATAGATAGATAGATAGATAGATAGATAGATAGATAGATAGATAGATAGATATAGATAGATAGATAGATAGATAGATAGATAGATAGATAGATAGATAGATAGATAGATAGATAGATAGATAGATAGATAGATAGATAGATAGATAGATAGATAGATAGATAGATAGATAGATAGATAGATAGATAGATAGAAGATAGATAGATAGATAGATAGATAGATAGATAGATAGATAGATAGATAGATAGATAGATAGATAGATAGATAGATAGATAGATAGATAGATAGATAGATAGATAGATAGATAGATAGATAGATAGATAGATAGATAGATAGATAGATAGATAGATAGATAGATAGATAGATAGATAGATAGATAGATAGATACGCTCAAAGTTACCCAAGTTCGCTAAGAAATGTTTCGCATTTATTACCTGCGGCACACTGATTTTCTACTGCTTCCAGCAATCATGCTTGAACTTAGCAGTCCACTGCATTACGAGGGTGTTTTTTTGGTTATTGTTTCTTTTTTTTCACCAATACGTAGTTCATTGGGGGGGGGGGGGGGGGCAGAATAAAGCGGGCTATCCGCTTGACCAAGTTCTCGCCGCCTACTATATACACAAGGCAGGGGCGGTGGCGGCCACAGAACACAACAGCTGACAAAAATACACATTAACGAAATTAGGAGTTACACAGCTTTCAAAAACACTCCAGACAACCTCGTTGACAAAGAAAACCGCATACACACAGTGCAATGAACATATGCAGAAATATAAATCAAAAGTCTTAATATGTAAACCGCAAATACACCATACACAAGATTTACGCGCAGTGGTGGCTGCATTTTCATCCTTTTGTGTGTGTGTTTTTTTTTGTTTATTACTCTTTTTAATGGGAAACTAGGTTTGAAGAAGTGGTTTCAAATGCCAGCAGTGTTAATAAATAATTGCGGAAGTTGATTGACATGCAGAGTTTAACGTTTCAAAAACACCATGTGATTTTGAGAAACGCTGTAATGGAGGGCTCCGGAAACTTGGAGCGCCTGGGGTTCTTTAACGTGCACCGAAATAGTAGTACACGGACATACAGCATTGTCGCCTCTTTATAAAATGCAGCCGCCGCAGCCGAGATTCGGTCCCGTGACCTGCGGGTTGGCCGCGGAGTACCTTAACCACTAGACCAGCATGGCGGAGCTATTGGCGAAGTTGAAAAAGGGTCTGTTATCTTAATATCACAGGAATGTAACCTGTTTAATTACAACGGTAGCTCATAAGTAGTATATTATTGTTCAAAGTTCTTGAACGAGGGAGCATCGAAGGTGGCTTATGACGGTATGGGTGATAACGTTTCTTGCAATCGATAAATGTGATAGTGGATAAGCGTTTTTTGTTTATAGTGACGTCATCGTCATCTTCATCACCATCATCATCATCGCCATCATCATCCTCACTACGTCCACTGCAGGACGTAGTCAGGATTATGATGATGGTGATGACGATGCCCATGATGATGATGATGGTGATGCCCCTCCCATGACCCGCCAGTCAACTCGGTCTTGTGCTTGCTGCTGCCATTTAGTACCCGAAAACTTCCTAATCTCGTCTGCCCACCTAACTTTTTGCGTCCCCCTAACCTGTTTCCCTACTCCAAGAATCCAGTCATTTATGGCTAATGACCAGTGGTTGTCCTGCCCACGCGCTACATGCCCGGCCCATGTTCATTACTTTTTTTTAAATGCGAAGCATTTCTTAGCCAACTTCGGTGGTTTTGAGCGTGTCTGTCTGTCTGTCTGTCTGTCTATCTATCTATCTATCTATCTTTATCTATCTATCTATATTATCTATCTATCTTTATCTATCTATTTTTAGGAGCGAAGCACCATCAGTGTGTCATGTCGTTGACAAACGGGTATGCCCCATCAAAATTTCTCGCCCCCTGTTCGTACTGTCATGGGATCGCGACATTAAAGAAGGCAGCAGTCAAAACTGGCTTTATTTGGCTGGACATCTGGTCAGTAAAAAGAATTCAAACAATCGCTTGCAATGTACTGAGACCGGAGAAATGCGCGTCGGTCATCGATAGTCTGACCCGCGGAAACGCAGCGCGCATCACATGCGGCATCGAAGATTCGAGCGTCGTTGCTGGTGGTCGCGCTTGTTCGAGAATCAACTAAGTAGTTCATGTTTCCGCGCTGAAGCCTTACAGATGATCCTGTAGTAATGCTCCGAGACATTCTGGCGTGGTTTGCTCAAAGCAGTATCTAAACGTGCAAAAAAAACGTAGAATGAAAGGAGCGTGTTGGGGCAAAAGGTTCGTCGCTATACTGCTTAAAACATTATGTTTGGCTTAGCAGCGGTGAGAGAGATACAAAAGAGAGACACGTGTATCTCTGCGATGTGGGAAGCAGCAGCAGATAGCGCCACGTCAGTAGCAATGCTCACGGCCCGCTTGCGCTCTTCAAGGCCTGTGCGCTGTCCGGAGGAAAAGTGCCGGAGCTGCTATCAGCCAAGCTGCCTGATTTCAGCTGCCCGTGCATCACCGCGCTGCTGTCTCATCCTTGGGCCAACCCTGTCATATTCCGCATTTAGATAACTAAAGTATTGTTGTTTGTTTTGACGTGGAGCCTCCGTTGCCCTTGCCTATGCGAACGGGACGAAACAATGGCGACGCCCACAGTTGGCGCCCAACTTGGCAAGGTGTACGTAGATCCGGACTTAGGTTTTGGGAGCTTTTGTCTGCAGCAACGTTTTTGTGCATGTGCTTTTGTTGCGCGGTATTTGTTTTCTCCCCACGGCGCAGGCAGACGTAACGCAACTCCGTTCCGGGGCGATCATGCCCACTGGCGACAAGGAAGACTCACCTCTTCAGCCGGCGAAACAACTGGCACAGCAGCCAGACACATTTCAGTATGTCGCTGAGTTGTGCGACACGGTCATAGACCACGTGGGCAGTCTGGTCGTGGAGCAAAATAGGGTAAGTTAGCCACATCTCTGCGAACATTCGAAATCATTAGCTGACTTCCTAGATGAAGTAGACATTTATGCCAGGGATACTGACGCCTCAGAAGCGTACGTGATGGCTCGAATTCTGCCGTTGGCTTTACGGGATACCGCAGGACGATGGTGGAGGCTTTCACCACATCAGCAGATTTTGAAAAGTGCTCCCGAAAGAAGTTTGTGCTCCCTGGGTGCGAGCAGCGAGTACAGCGTGAGCTCGAACTGAGAACGCAGCATCCGGACGAAAGTTTGCTTGAGTACGTCCGGGCAATGCAGGAATTGCATCGCCTAGCAGCCCCGACTGCCTCTGAAAGGGACAAACTCGCTCGGGTCATTTCTCACAAATCACAATCAATTTCAAACACAAAAAGTAGAGTCAATCACATTCAAACACAAAAACTAGAGGATAATACCAATTTAAACACTGGTTATACAAAATGTACTACTCAATTGAGTGATTCAGATATGAATATAATAATAACAAAAAGTACAAGGGCAGGAGCTCCGAACAACAAACAAGAAGAGAAAAACAGAGAACAGGTGGCCGAATTTTTTCAACTCTAGAAGATGTTCCTAAGAGCATGTTTGAAAAAAATCGGACCGCGTATTTTTTACTACAGACGATGGCAGATTATTCCAGTCTACGTAGGCTTTCGGA